GAGCCCATTTGGAGGAAAGGTAAAAAATAACCTTAGAAAGTAATATTTTGCCAAAAAGATTAGTTGATGCTTGGAACAGACTTAGGTTGAGTTATGTATCAGTTAACAGTAAGTGAATTTAAACATGCTCAAGACATTCATTGTTCTGCTGTATACTCAGAAAACAATGTTAAAAAAGGGAAATTTTTATGGACCACTTGGTCTTTTTCTGCCATTGCACATATTTCCAAAAGTAGAACAAATACAGTACATAAGCCATCCATGAGTGTGGATAATAATAGAAAATGGAAATGTAAAGACACTGCTGTCACATTTGGTATTTTTGTCCCACAATACTTTATTTATTTTCTTTTAGTAAAGATTTTATCTAATGTGAGCTTGATTTCTCACCAAAAATTGTACTTCTGAACTTGGATCTATAGAATTTAAAAATACAATCTATATACATACTATCAATGCAGCAGCAAAATTGGTTATACCTTGATCTTGGTTTCAAAGAAGACCCCTATGTATGCCAAAATATCTGAATCCATTGTTGAAATTAATCATGTCTAATCCAGTGAAAAAATAAAAACAACCTCATTATCGCACCTTGATTCATGGTAACAATAATTCTCCAAAATACCAATATATCCAAAAATATTAGGTCCAATTAGGAATAACATTCCTAACAGATTTACTAAAATGTCTTACTGTAATATTCAGTTGACCTTTATTTCTTTGTCTATATAGTTTGTTATAAATTGTATATTGTCTTTTCTGTATAGAATTGGTGTTATATATTCATACCAGTTTTTTTTTATACTGGCAAAAATATTAAGTGTTAAAAATAAAGAAAAATTGTGACAAAGTTACATTTTTCACTTACCTACTTAGACTATGTAATCCTCATCTGACAGGTATCCTTTCAAAATACCCCCGAGATCACATTGAATATGTTGACACATTCACTCCTAGTTTGTCTTCTAAAGCAAGCATACATATTATTGCAGGATATAGTTAGTCTATATCACTATTGCTTACATTTTATTAACTAAACTTTTGAAGTAAAAAGCTGAAGTCAGAAATTAGTGGGCACTTTAAGTCTTCTATTATGGAGGCAATTAGATTATATATCAGATAAATTAGTAAGAGTACACCAGCAGGTGTCAATAATAAATATAATTAGTCTTCTAAAGCAAGCAGACATGTTCTTGTTACGCATAGCTACTCTGTATCGCTATTACTGACATTTTATTCATTTTATATAAAATCTACCCAGATATAACCATGCAAGTTAATTTATTATTAGATGTAATGAATATGTTGGTATATACTAATTCTTATCTTTCTCATCTTTCTCAACACATCTTATTTTTTTACTTTACTTTACCTCATCCGTGGCATTTATGGACAAAGCAGCACAAGAGCAATGGTTGCACATATAGTTGTTTTAAATCATATCAGGCTTGAGCCATTAATACCAAGAATATTCTCTTAAAAGGTGAAGTGGTAACTGTCAAATCAATAGGAAACACATGCTTATTTCATATGGTTTATGATAATATAATACCCACAGGGAGGAAAGGTAACAGAAAAATAGTACCATTCAGATATTTCTGGGTATTTTTTTTTTTTGGCATGACAGTAACTACTTTTTTATGTTGACAACAAATAAGCATCATAGAGCTATTCATGGAAGACAAAGCTAGGTTTCTCAAAATGATTTTTCACAAAAAAGGACTCTCACCTAATCAAAAACATTAAATCACCCCCTGATCTGTAATTTGTAGAACAAAAAAATCTGAAGCACATTTTTATGAAGCTCTGCAGTATTGGGACACCCTTCCAAATCATTGAATTCAGGTGTTCCAATCACCTCCTTGGCCACCGGTGTATAAAATCAAGCACCTAAGCCTGCAGACTGCTTCTACAAACATTTGTGAAAGAATGGGTCACTCTCAGGAGCTTAGTGAATTCAAGCGTGGTATCGTGATAGGTTGCCACCTGTGCAATAAGTCCATCCGAGAAATTTCCTTGCCACTAAATTTTCCACGGTCAACTGTTACTGATATTGTAACAAAGTGGAAGCAACTGGGAACAACAGAAACTCAGCCATGAAGTGGTAGGCCATGTATAATTACAGAGCGGGGTCAGCGCATGCTGAAGCGCAAAGTGTGCAGAAGTCGCCAACTGTCTGCAGAGTCAATAGCTAAAGACCTCCAAACTTTGTGTGGCCTTCATATTAGCACAACAATGAGTAGAGAGATTCATGGAACAGGTTTCCATGACCGAGCAGCTGCATCCAAGCCTTACATCACCAAGTGCAATGCAAAGCGTTGGATGCAGTGGTGTAAAGCACCACTGGACTTGAACAGTGGAGGCGCATTCTCTGGAGTGACTAATCACACTTCTCTGTCTGGCAATTCAATGGATGTGTCTGGGTTTGGTGGTTGCCAGGAGAGCAGTACTTGCTTGACTGCATTGTGCTAAGTGTAAAGTTTGGTGGAGGAGAGGTTATGGTGTGAGGTTGTTTTTCAGGGGTTGGGCTTGGCCCCTTAGTTCCAGTGAAGGCATCAGCATACCAAGACATTTTTGGACAATTTCAGGCTACCAACTTTGTGGGAACAGTTTGGGAATGGCCCCTTCCTGTTCCAACATGACTGCGCACCAGTGCACAAAGAAAGATCCAATAAAGACATGGATGAGTGAGTTTGGGGTGGAGGAACTTGACTGACCTCAACCTTATAGAATAATGGTCAAACATTCCTATAGACACACTCCTAAGCCTTGTGGACAGCCTTCACAGAAGAGTTGAAGCTGTTACAGCTGCAAAGGGTGGGCCAACTCAATACTGAACCCTACAGACTAAGACTGGGATGCCATTAAAGTTCATGTGTGTGTAAATGCAGGCGTCCCAATACTCTTGTCACTATAGTGTATATAGTGGATATAAAAAGTCTACACACCCCTGTTAACTTTATTTGGGATTAATCACAGGCACTTTAAATGATGGCAGGTGTGTGTATATATATATATATATATATATATATATACACACACACAGTATGTTAAAAAAGTGCATACACTTCTTGAAGAACCCTTGTATAATTGTATATATTACACATTATCTTGATACAATTTCATATTTTCTGCCATATATTTATGATTTAGGATTTCATATACAGATTGGTACATTGCACCTCCTGTGCGATAGGTAATGTAATGAGCACTGTTGCCACTGTTACCAAATGAAATATACAGTAATTAACAGATAAGACATGAAAAGCTTGATTTGAATGAAATAACTAGATTTATAGGTTTATCTACAGTGTATGTGTTTATTATGGTTCTATAAACAAACAGTTCTTAACTGACCATTTTGTAAAAAAAAAAGTGTCCTTGGAGACCAGAAGTAGGAGGCAGAGGAGAGGAGAGCACAGCTTGCACCTCTTTCTGACTCTCTTCTCCTTTAAAACACTGACTTACAGGTCTGGTCGCTAGATGACTAGTGTAGTGACACTCATGTCACAATACATATCAGAACAATGGTGGCTGAGCCAAAGGGAAATTCTAAGGGACCAGACCTGGTAATCAACATTATCTGCAAGACTTTCCAGCTGAAATCTGGAGAGTTTCTAGGTATTTGTATTGACCCTCGCTCTTCACTTTTAGGGTTTCTTGAGCACAATATCCACATGTGCCTGACTGTTTGGTCAAGTGCAGTGAAATGCATCTGTAAACTAAAGCAACAAGTCCTATTAAGATGATTTACATTGTGTTTTTTTTGGAAACGTTGGGCACATTGATTCTTTTGTGTGACAGAATAGAGCAAGAATTAAGTAATCTATAGTCATATATTTTTGGTCTCTGCAAAACAACCTTTAACATTCTATTTACTTGCAGTAATATCATGAAAACATGACAAGCAATGGTAGCTTGTATACATACAGAAAAGGTGCAGCGCTTATGATATGAGACAGTAAATTACATATAAATGCATATAGTGAACATATATCTGAGTGACGTAAATTATGGAATAGGCAGCAATACCCAATATGATCACAGTGATGCGTTCTAATCAGAGATTACAGGCCTCTTCAGACTGTCCAGAGCACTCACTGTGCATTACAGGCCTCCTTAGACCATCCAGAGCACTGTGTGCATTACAGGCCTCCTCAGACCGTCCAGCTGAGGGTGGAGCAGATGGTGCCGAGCAACAGAAGGAAAAATGAGTGTCGGCAGGTGTTGACATAAGAACTTGCAGCAAGAGAAGCAGGCTCGGATAGACTGGAAGTAGAGCAGGATGGACCAGCTGGGGTTTAAGGTGTACTCCACCTGTGCTTGAGGTTCAGGAGGCTTGTCAGAGCTTCCAGCAGACTTGAGACAAGAGTGTACTGTGGAGACTGGAGGCAGCAAGAATGACAGCCAAAACAGGCACTTAGGATCAATATGAAGACAAATCAGAGACAGGAGCAAGATCCCAGAGGCAGCTGAGGTCAGTATCAGGCAGGTAATGATAGTACAGAAGTGGGGACAGAAGTGGGGGCAGAAGTGAGGACAGGAACAAGCGGACAGAGGTACAAGCAGAATCCAGGATCAGGTGTCCTGTGTGTATCCTGTTCCTGATTCCCATTGACACAGGAAAAGCTGAAGACCAGTCAGCACTGATGGTGGGCAAGAGCATCCTTTAAATAGGCCATCTGGCACCTATAGTGGACATGCTCCTGGGAAGGCTTGCACATTCACAAACCTTGTCTTATTGGAATTCCCTTACACCATGATAACAAAAAAAAACAAAGAGATGCCCATAATGGGAATATTATTGACATTGCCCCAATTGAATCCCAATGGCTCAAGATTTTTATGCTTCAGAAACATATAGATAAAATAAAAGTGACTAAAGTGCCCGAAACAGATGGCTTACATTAGGCCTTGAAATTTGCACTCGCCTGCTCGATTGGCAAGTGGAAATTATGGTGGGGACAAGTGTGCCCCCAGAGACGCCTTGCTGAGCAGGCTAGGAACTCAAGGCCAGATCTGTCACGCACACTGGGAGCCGTCAGACTGCTCAATAGTTGAGCACAGTGAAAGCAAAGGAAGGAGTGTGTGCTGTGCTCTCTTCCTCCCCCTAGAGTGCAGTACCCAGATCTGTGAGTGAAGGTAAGGAAGTACTGCAACTTTTTATAGGGCTGTGTGTGTATGTATCTGTTTTGTGTGTGTTTATGTATGTGCATACGTGTGTGTGTGTGTACATGTGTCTGTGTGTATGTATGTGTGTGTGTGTATGTATCTATGTGTATGTGTGTCTGTATGTACATGTGTGTGTATGTACATGTGTGTATGTATATGTGTGTGTCTGTGTGTGTGCATGTGTCTGTGTGTAGTAGTATCTGCATGTGTCTGTGTGTATGGGGTGTGTGTGTGTGCATGTGTGTAAGTGTCTGTGTGTACAGTGGGGATCGAAAGTTTGGGCACCCCAGCTAAAAATTTGTATTATTAATGTGCATAAAGAAGCCAAGGAAATATGTGCATAATTAATGTGCATAAAGAAGCCAAAAGGCATCAAATCTGGGAAGACCAGGTTATGTCAATCTCAAAGGTTTTAAATGCCCAGACTCATCTGACCTTGCCCCAACAATCAGCACCATGGGTTCTTCTAAGCAGTTGTCTAGAAAACTGAAACTGAAAATAGTTGACGCTCACAAAGCTGGAGAAGGCTATAAGAAGATAGCAAAGCGTTTTCAGATGTCAATATCCTCTGTTCGGAATGTAATTAAGAAATGGCAGTCATCAGGAACAGTGGAAGTTAAAGCAACATCTGGAAGACCAAGAAAAATATCAGACAGAACAGGATTGTTCAAAACCCACGTTTGACTGCACGATCCCTCCAGAAAGATCTGGCAGACACTGGAGTTGTGGTACACTATTCCACTATAAAGAGATACTTGTACAAATATGGTCTTCATGGAAGAGTCATCAGAAGAAAACCTTTTCTACGTCCTCACCACAAAAATCATCGTTTGAACTTTGCAAATGAACATATAGACAAGCCTGATGCATTTTGGAAACAAGTTCTGTGGACCGATGAGGTTAAAATTGAACTTTTTTGGCCGGAATGAGCAAAGGTACGTTTGGAGAAGAAGGGGCACAGAATTCAATGAAAAGAACCTCTGTCCAACTGTTAAGCATGGGGTTGGATAAATCATGCTTTGGGGTTGTGTTGCAGCCAGTGGAACAGGGAACATCTCACGAGTAGAAGGAAAAATGGATTCAATAAAATTTTAGCAAATTTTGGATGGTAACTTGATGCCATCTGTGAAAAAGCTGAAGTTAAAGAGAGGATGGCTTCTACAAATGGATAATGATCCTAAACACACCTCGAAATCCACGGGGGATTACATCAAGAGGCATAAACTGAAGGTTTTGCCATGGCCTTCACAATCTCCTGACCTCAACATAATTGAAAATCTATGGATAGACCTTAAAAGAGCAGTGCGTGACAGACAGCCCAGAAATCTCAAAGAACTGGAAGACTTTTGTAAGGAAGAATGGGCAAAGATACCTCAAAACAAGAATTGAAAGACTCTTGGCTGGCTACAAAAAGCGTTTACAAGCTGTGATACTTGCCAAAGGGGGCAGTACAAGATACTAACTCTGCACGGTGCCCAAACGTTTGCAGACACCATTTTTTTGTTTTCTGTTATTTTGAAAGTGTAAATGATGGAAATGAAATCTAACTTTTGTTGACATATTATAAGAATGTCTAATCTGTAATGTGATGCCTTTTTTTTTTTTTTCCATCTTTCCTTGGCTTCTTTATGCACATTAATACAAATTTTTAGCTGGGGTGCCCAAACTTTCGATCCCCACTGTATTTATGTATGTGTGTGTGTGTGTGTGTGTGTGCGTTTGTGTGTATCTGTGTATCTGTGTGTGTGTGTGTATGAGTCTGTGTGTATGTATCTGTGTATGTCTATGTGTATGTATCTGTGTATGTACATGTGTCTGTGTGTGTGTATGTATGAAAGCAGATAAAAAGTGGAGAGACGTTCACTTAACCTTTGCATTGTGTGTCTGTCTGTGCCACACTAAGCATGGACAACAGAAAGAGGAGACGAGAACTGTTGAGGACCTGAGAACAAAATTTTGGCAAAATATCAACAATCTCAAGGTTACAAGTCCATCTCCAGAGAACTAGATTTGCCTTTGTCCACATTTTGCGCAAACATTATCAAGAAGTTTTGCAACCCATGGCACTGTAGCTAATCTCCCTGGTCGTGGACGGATGAGGAAAATTGATGAAAGATTGCAACGCAGAATAGTCCGGATGGTGGATAAGCAGCCCCAAACATGGTTCCAAGACATTCAAGCTGTCCTGCAGGCTCAGGGAGCATCAGTGTCAGCGCGAACTATCCGTAGGACATTTAAATGAAATGAAACTGCTATGGCAGGAGACCCAGGAGGTGACCCCACTGCTGACACAGAGACTTAAAAAAGCAAGGACTACAGTTTGCCAAAATGTACTTGAGTAAGCCAAAAGCCTTCTGGGGAAAACGTCTTGTGGACAGATGGAGACCAAGATAGAGCTTTTCGGTAAAGCACATCATTCTACTGTTTACCGAAAACGGAATGAGGCCTACAAAGAACGAAAACACAGTACCTACGGTAAAATATGGTGGATGGTTCAATGATGTTTTGGGGGTTGTTTTGCTGCCTCTGGCACTGGGTGCCTTGACTGTGTGCAAGGGCATCATGAAATCTTGAGGATTACCAAAGGTTTTTGGGTCGCACTGTAGGGCCCAGTGTCAGAAAGCTGGGTTTGCGTCAAGATCCTGGGTCTTCCAGCTGGGTTGACCCCAAAACATACGTCAAAAAGCATCAGGATGTGTGGATGGGGCAAAGAAGCGCTGGAGAGTTCTGAAGTGGCCAGCAATGAGGCCCAGATCTAAAATCCCATTGAACACCTGTGGAGAGATCTTAAAATTTGGCTGTTGGGAAACGGTTTTTTTTTTTTGTTTTTTTTTTTGTCCAATAAGAGAGACCTGGAGCTAGTTTGCAAAGGAAGAGTGGTCCCAATTGGGGGTTCCGGGTGACGGGTTGTCAGGAAGCTTATTGATGGTTATAGGAAGCGACTGATTTCAGTTATGTTTTCCAAAGGGGGGGTGCAACCAAAATTTAAGTTAAGGGTGCCAATTACTTTTGTCCAGCCCATTTTTGGGGTTTTGTGTGACATTATGTCTTATTTGCTTTTCTGCCTCTGTTTTATATTTGTTCCAATACATACAAAGGGAATAAACATGTGTATAGCAAAAAACATGGTTAATGCAATACCTTTTTTGTGTGAAATACTTGATTTTTCAGGAAAAATTCAAGGGTGGAACAATTTCGGCCATGGCTGTATATGAGGTGTGTTTGTGTGATAGTACATGTATCTGGTGGTGTATTTCTAGCAAGCAGAAAGTAGGGGAGTTGGAAGCTTTGTTGCATTGTGATGAGCTATGATTTGTGCGGTTATTGCTGAAAGAGGCGGGGGGGGGCATGTAGTTGGTAGGAGGGGAAGGGAGAATCAGAGGGGGGGGACAAGTGTTGACTGGGGGGTGTTGGCTGGAGTGGTGAGGTGGTTGTTTGGGAGGTGTGCGGGAGGGATTAAACCAGCTGAAAGGGGTGGATACCGCTTAGTGAAGCGTTTTCATTGGAGCGGGAGGGTGCGAGCGGGGTCCGGATTATATGAGGAGGTGATGTACAGGACGCAGCTTGATAGAACAGAAAGGCAAAGGGCTGAGGGGGGCGGGGTTGGGACCTGCATGGGGAAGGGAGGAGCATACTGGAGGGCCATAAGGGGACACGAAGGAATTGGACTGGAGCTTCTATTAGAAAGCGTGGGGTGGCATAATGTTCCGTGTTTACGGTGGGGGAAATGGTGTACTGAGTGGAGGGTGGTTTTGGAGTACGGGCATCAGAGGAACACATGGGAGGGGGGTTCTTGGGGGGGGGGGAGGTTGGGTGGCTCTATGTTGGGCTTAGTCGGGGGGGCCATTGAGTGGGGGAGAATGCGGTGGAGTTGCGGAAGGGGTAGCCGGGGGGGGTGCGCGTATGCAGGGGAGGAATGACCGTGGAGTTGGGTGTAGGATCAGTGGTAATTGGGGTTGGACAGGGGGGTGAAGAAACCGGGTAGGGGATAGCAAGTAGGCTGATTCGACTGCGATAATCACGTGCGGGGGTGTTAAGTTTTGAGATAGTAGTTGAGGTTGGGGTGGGGTGGTGAGGCTTAAAGTGGTAATGAGTATGGGTAGCGCCGTTGGGAGGTGGGCCTGGGGGGGAATGGATGATGGGGTATGCGGGGGCATGAGGTGGTGGGGGGGGGGGTTTGGTGGGGGATGGGGTGTGTATTGGGGCCGGTGGCATGCGTTGTTGGGGAGGAGGAGGGGGACTGGAGAGGAGCGGGGGGCGGAGGAGGAGGGGGAGCGAGTAAGGACACGGGGCAGGCAGGGGGTGGCAAGAAAGGGGCCGGAGGCGGGTATGGAGGCGGGGTGGCGGGTGGGGGAATGTCGGAGTTGGAGGTGGTTGGCCTGGAGTGGGGTGGAGCAAGAGGAGTTGAGGGCGGGGGCAAGCGAAGATGTGCGGGGTCGGAGGCGGTATCTCGTAGATAGGCAACGGGCTGAAGGGAGGGGGGGAGGAGGAGGAGAGCGGGGATGGCGGAGTGGGAGGAGGGTTGGACGGCGCAGGAGGATGTGGGGGGGGAAGTAGGGAGCTGTGGGAGGAGATGGAGTACGTGGGCTGGAGGAGGGGAGATGGAGGGGGTCAAAGGGGATGGGAGGGGGAGGGAGGGCGGGGGAGGCGGGGGATGGCGTAGGGGCCGGAGGGGAGGGAAGGAGGGGAGAAGTCGGAGTGAGGATGAGCTGGCGGAGAGAAGGGGGGAATGAAAGGCAGGGGGACTGGAAAGGAGGTTGGAAAGGAGGAAGGGAATTGAAAGGAGGGAGATGAAGAGGAAAGGAGATCGGAAAAGAAGGAGGGGAGTAGGGAGGGGAGGAAAGTGGAAGGGGACGAGTGGAGAGGGGAAGTTGAGGCGCCGGGGTGATAGGTGAACTGAGGGGGGGAGCGGCAGCAAGGAGTGAGCAGCGAGAGGAGGTGCGGCGAGAAGGGGAGGCGAACTGAATAGATCCGAGCAAGCACGAAAGGAGACACGAGGGGCGGAGGGGAGGATGAACCGGGCATGGAGATGGGGGGGTGAAAGGAGGCTGGCCGAGGAGAGGAGGCGGGGTAAGGCAAGGAAAGAAAGTAGGAAAATGGAAGGGGGGAAAACCAAGTGGCCGAGGCTTGGGGATGAGAAATGGAGGGTGACAGGAGAGCGTGGGTGGGGGGCGAGGGGGAAGGGGACGCATGGGTAAGGAGGAGGGGAGAGAAAGATGGGTGGGGGTGAGGAGAAGCTAAACGGAGGGGATGAAAAGGAGGGCGAAGAACGGGGGGATGGAGGGGGGAGGGGGGGATGGGAGGAGGAGGCAGGGAGGGGGAAAGAGGTTGGGAGAGGGTGGGGAGAGGTAGATGAGAAGGGGGCGAGAGGATGGGGCGGTGGAAGGGGAGGGGACGGAGGGGAAATGAGGAGGGAGAGGAGGGCGGGTGAGAAAAGGGGAGGAGGAGGCGGGAAAGGGGGACAAAGCTCCGGGGGTGGAGGAGTAATGAGAGGGGAGTAGTGCGGGGAGGGGGAAAAGGAGGGGGGGGGGAGGGGGGGAGGGGGGAGGGATGAAGGACGGGGGAGGGCGGTAAGAAAGGGGCATGGGGTGGGGGGGGGGGGCGGGGCCGGTGGAGGGGAAGTGGGGTGATGGGGGGGTTGTGGGGGGCTGGCGGTTGGAGGGGGAGGAGGGGGACTGGGGGCGGAAAATAGGGATTAGGGGTGGTGGGGGAGGGAGGAGGGGGAGAAAAGGAGGAGGGGGGGGGATGAGGGGGAGGGGCGAAGGAGAGGGGGGGTGAAAGGTGATGGGGATATTAGGGGGGGGGGAAAGGGGGGGGATGGGGGGGGGGGGTTTGAAAGGGCAAGAGGAGAAGGGAACGTGGAGGGGATAAGGAAGGTGAGGGGGGGGGGGAGGGGGGAGGGGGGGGATTAGGGGCAAAAGGCTTCTGATGGGGAGGGATGGGCTGAGAAGAGGGGAATGTCTGCGGGGAAAGGGAGGGGGCATGGAAGGCGGAAGTGGGGTAAAACGGGGAGGGATGAGGAAAGCAAAGGGCTGAAGGAAAAGGGAAGGGAGGGGGAGAAATGGCGGAGGGTGTAGGGGAGGGAGCTGGCGTATGAGAGGGGGTTTTAGATGATGGGCAAAGGGCCGGGATCGTGAGGGGGGGAATTGGGGGGTGCGGGCAGTGGTGTGAGGGAAAAGGGCGGGGAGGGGGGGAAGGGGTTGGGGAGCGAGTGAGGGGGGGGGGTGGAAGTTGGACACGGGGAAGGAAGGGGGGGGGAGGGGGGGAGGGAAAGAAACAGAGGGGGGGAGTGGGGGGAAGGGGGAGAGGGAGGATGAGGCAAAAAGGGGGTGGGAGGGAAGGGGGACAGAAAGGGGGAGGGAGGGAGGGAAAGTGAAGTGGGAAAGGGAGAAATAGGGAGCGAAAGGGACAGGGGGGGTGGACGGATACGAGGGGAGAGGGGGGACGGGGGGGAAATGAAGGGGTAAAAAAAGGGGGGATGGAGAAGGGGGCGTGGGGCAGAAAAAGAGGGGAGGCATAAGGCGGAGGTGGGGACAAGGGGGGCGGGGGGTGGTGGGGAGTAGGCGGGTGGGGTAAGGGGGAACGGGTGGGGGGGGGAGTGGGGTCCTAGGTGGAGGTGAGGAAGGGGTGGGGCGGGGGGAGTAACTGAAAGGGGGTGGGGGAGGACGGAGGGGAGGGGGGAAAGGGAAGGAGGGGAAGGGCGATAGGAGTAGGGTGGGGAGAAGGGAGGAGGGGGGGCTGTGAAGGGGAGGGGGGGGGGGGAATTCAGGGGAGGTAAACAAATCGGGAGGGGGGGATGAGGGGATGATTGGGGGCGGGGCAGGGA